ACACAGCCTCCCTGAGCACTCGTGGGTATAGCTGGGGCCAGGGGTTGTCCTAGTGACCCCAATAACAGCAGAAAGGCCCAACTAAACAAAACAACAGGGGGGCTGGAGCAATAGCACAGCAGGTACGGCGTTTGCCTTGCACATGGCCAATCAGGGTTTGATTCCCAGCCATCCCATATGGTCCCCTGAGCACCGCCAGGGGTAATTCCTGAGCAAAATAAATAAATAAGTAAATAACAGTGTCCCAAATGCTGGTGAGAATAGGAGCACTGAGAATCCTCAGTTGGGGAAATGAGAAATGGAAACACTGCTCAGATGAGGGGGTACCTTCAGGCCAAACTCCCTTCAGCATGGACCAGCGCTCTGAACATGAAATGAAAACTCACTTTGAAATCCATATCTGCATGCAGATACTCAGAGACGTCCCCTCCATGACAGCCCAAAGGGGGAAATACCCAAGTGCCCTTCAACAGGAAACGAAGAAAGGGCAAGACAGGAAAGGACTACTGAGTAGAAAGGATCATACTGCAGTCACAATAGCACAGCGGGGAGGGTGCAGGTCTTGCATGTGACTGACCCGGGTTTGACCCCGGCATCCCAAATGATCCCTCAACACCGCCAGGAGTAATTCCTGGGCAAGAGCCAGGAGTAACCCCTGAGCATTGCCGGGTATGTACCACCCAAAATGAAAGAAAATGAACACACGGAGGCTGCAGGGATGGCTCAAGGGGTACGGTTTGAGTGCAGGATCAGTCCTCATAGACTGACCTTCAAGCACTTATGGATGTAGTGACTTCACAAAGACCCCAGAGGAAGAACCAAGCTACTGGCACTCCCATAACTGGGATCTCAAGAAATTACGTGTATGGAGAACGAGGATTTGGTGCCCAAAGGTGGCGTCTCATATGCATTGTGGAAGTAACAGAAACCACAGTAGAGGGGCCGGAATGATAGCACAACGGGTAGGGCGTTTGCCTTGCATGTGGCCGACCCAGGTTCGATCCCCGGTTCAGCCCCCCCCCCCAATATGGTCCCCCAAGCACCTCCAGGAGTAATTCCTGAATTCAGAGCCAGGAGTGACCCCTGAGCATCACTGGGTATGACCCAAAAAAGGCAAAAAAAAAAAAAAAAACCCACAGTAGAAAGGAGGTGGAGAATAAGAAACTACATGAGTCGGAAGAGGAAGGAGGGACATGGGCATAAGGAGGGGTGTCCAGGGCTGAGTCTTTGTCCCTGACTTCCTGACTTAAAAGGGTTAAACGAATAAATCTGACCAAGAATGACTTCAGACAGCTGTGAAGTTGGCAAGGCCCTGTGTGCCCACTGCAGACCAGGTGACAGCACTGGGTTCGGGGATCTCTGGAAAGCCCAAGGGAGCAGGACCACTCCCATTCCCTTTTAAGGCCCCAGAAGGAAGGTGACTCATCCGAGCTCTGCCATGCAATGATGGCATCAATGTGGCCAGTGAGACCAGCACTGCCATCTCTGCCAAGTGCTTACTAGGGGAAGATTTTTTTTTTCCCCAATCTTGATTGAGGTCACAGGAAGGGAAACTTTAAACTGCTCATCCTAAGCGTTACAATAACAGCAGCTGACACTAGCTGGGTTCTGATGCCTTGCCAGACATGCTTCTGCTCCCCAGGGTCATCCTCTGATACTGGGTTTACTCTGATGCCCAGCTGACAGAGGCAGAAACTGAGATTCTGAACAGTAAACTCATTTTACCTGGTTACACATTCAGGAAGTATCAGTGCAAACCACTTCCCATTAAAAACTTGAGCCACACTTTCTGCTCTGCTACCTCCCAATATTCTGAAAAAAAAAACAAACAAACAGGTACTGTCAAGTTTAGGTACTGTCAAGTACCCTAAAAAAATAATAATAAAATAAAGCATGATCATGAGTCTTTCTTGATTTCTAAGCCGATGATCCTGGAACAGGAGTGTAAAGAAGTAGACACAGGGGCATTTGTCTTGCATGCAGCCAGCCCAGGTTCAATTCCCGGCATCCCGTATAGTTCCCCAAGCCGAGCAGAGCCAGGAGTATCTCTGGGTGTGGCCCCAAAACAAAAAAATCAAAAAAATGCATTTGGGGCCTGAGTAAAGTAGATAGGACCTCACCAAGTCCATAGGGTCCCATAGGGTCCCCCAAGCCCACAAGGAGTGATTTCTGAGTGCAGATCCAAGAGTAACCCCAAAACACCTCTGGGTGTGGCTCATCCCCCAAAATTAAGCACTGTTAAGCACTGTCCTACCCTTGTTCATCGATTTGCTCCATTGGGCCCAGTAGCGTCTCCATCGTGAGACTTGTTGTTACTGTGCTTGGCATATTGGATACGTCATGGGGAGCTTTGCCTTGTGGGCGAGATACTCTCGGTAGCTTGCCGGGCTCTCCAAGAGGGGCGGAGGAATCGAACCCGGCTCTGCTGAGCCGGCCGCTCACAACGCAAATACCCTACCACTCTGCTATCACTCCAGCCCCCTCGAAATTAAAAATATAAATAAAAAAATGTATTGGGGGTGAGGGAGGGTGGCAGGCCACATTAGGCAGTGCTTAGGAGGGGGGCGGGGGGCCATGGTGCTTAGGATCAAACTCAGGTCCTTGTGCATGTAAGACAAGTCCTTTGAGTCATCCCTCACCTCCTGCTTCCTGCCCTAAAAATTCATTTTTAGAGCAAGGGAACAGTTGGGGCTTTTTCAGTTGAAAAAGTCATGGTAAGGGTCAGAATGTTAATATAGCAGGTAGGGCACTTGACTTGCGCACAGCTGACCCGGATTCAATCTCAGGCATCATATATCGCCAGGAGTGATCCCTGAGTACATAGCCAGGAGTAAGCCCTGAGCACCACCAGGTGTGACCCTAAAAAGCAAAAATGAAAACAACAAGAAGTCATGGGAAGCTTTAAGCAGAGGTGTGGCCCTTTTTACTGGATGGGATGTAGATTCTGGAGTCCAGGAAGATATTATGATGGGAAGCAGGAGAAAGCACGTATAGTGCTGCAGCAGTTTGGTGGGGTTGGAGAAACCAGATCATATATGATCTGGGGCCAGTACTCACATATTATTCCTTACATTCTCAGAGGCCCCTGTCTAATAAAATGGAAGCATTTTAATTTAATTTATATATTTTTTGTTTTGTGTGGGTGCCCTCCTGGAGATGCCCAGGGGCTCCTCCTGGCTCTGCACTCAGAAACTTACTCCTAGTGGTGCTCAGGGGATCACATGGGATGTCGGGGATTGAGTCCTGGTTGGTTGTGTGCAAGGCTAGAGCTGTCCTATCGCTCCCTCCAACACTCTTTCTTGTTCTGAATATCTACTAGTGCATATACGAGTGACATGTCAGTGACATGCCCTGTGTGACTAGACTGACGCTTCCTTTTTTTTTTTTTTTGTTTATTGGGTCACACCCGGCGATGCACAGGGGTCACTCCTGGCTCTACACTCAGGAGTTACTCCTGGCGGTGCTCAGGGGACCATATGGGATGCTGGAAATCGAACCTGGGTTGGCCGCGTGCAAGGCAAACACCCTACCTGCTGTGCTATTTCTCCAGCCCCATAGACTGACGCTTCCTGATGGAATGAGTCAAACAACCCCTTCAAAGTGATCTTTGGGACAGGAGAGAGAGAGAGTGGGAAGGATATTTGCCTTGCACACAGTTTACCAGGATTTAATCCTTAGCACTCCCTCTGGTTCCACGAGCACTGCCAGGAGTAATTCTTGAACACAGAGCCAGGAGTAAGCCCTGAGCATTGACTGAGTGGCCCAAAAACAAAACAGGGGGAAAAAGTGACCTTTCATCCTTCCTTTTTTCACCTCTATAAAGTGAGACAGTTCAGGGGTGAAGGTCTTGCCTGCTGAGACGGGCTAGAACCCTGTCATCTCAGGGGCCCCAGCCACAGCTGGGAGCACCCTGTGCACCACGGGTGTGGCCCAACAACAAACAAACGTGGTTGCCGAGAGGAAGGTGGTGCCACAGTCACCTGCCTCAGGGCTGCGAGCCAAGGAGGGGGCGGGGACGGCCACCCGACTCCAGGGATGCGGGCGGGGGCAATTCGGGCACTTCCTGGAGAACTGGGGGCTTCCAGCAAATAGCCAAATCAGCAAATCTGCAGCGCCTCACTAGCGGGGTCATCTGCGCCCAGCCCCGTCCCCCGCTGCCGTCCCTTCCTCTTCACCCACGCCACCCCCAATCCCCCCAAACCCTCCAACCCCCACGGTTCGCGGTCTGGTGAACCATTTCTGCTACTCCGTGGGGAGGCCCCTGGCGCTTTCGCGCGGTTCCGCGAGAGGGCGGACTCAGCCCAGAAACGGATTGAGGTGCACGAGAGTCGGCACTCCCCAAAGTCCCGCCGAACGGTCACCACCGCGCGGAGATCAGAGGACACTCCGGCCGCCCGGACACCCGGCCACGCCACCACCACCACCAAGCCCCGCCCCTTTCATCCAGGCCCCGCCCCGCCCACAGGCTGGTCCCGCCCCGCCTACACCGGGTCAGGCCAGGCCCCGCCTACAACTGGGCCCCGCCCCATCCACGGCCAGGCCCCGCCCCGCCCGCGGGCCTCCACGCCGCAGGGAACCCTGGGAAGTGTAGTTGGGCGCTGTTCCGGGCTGAGCGTCCTCCCAGTGGCCAAGGGCGTCTTAGGTCCCGCTGACCCCTCGCCAAGGCCAAGTCCAAGAGCCGCCGAGAGGCGGCGAGACGGTGAGCTGGCTGCTGGAGGATCGGTGCTGTAGGGCCCTGGACCAGTCCCGTGACCTGTGCCAGCTTGTAGATGTCCTGGGAGTGCACGAGGCCAGGCGTCCAGTGCCCCGCCTGCCCTTCGCGGCCTGACAGACCTTCCCAAGGCAACTCCGGCCCCAGAAATGTGTGGAAGTCCAAGGCCAGCACCTGTGCCCCAGCCCATGACATTACTCCCGCTGGCACTTGGACTTGTCCCTCCCTGTCCAACCCAAGGCACCTCCAGCCAACTCTCCATGTACTCAGAAATGTTTTATATTTATTTCCCAATATCTGACAATTTGCGTTTTTTTACAAAGTTAATAAACGATGGAGGTGTGAGTCTGTAGGACCCCCACCTGGCTGGGAACTGGAGGCGATGAGCACTGAAGCCATTTAAAACTCACTCAACTCCGGACCGCTGCCCTGGCCTCTAAAGTCCTTCCCAAAGTATGAGATGGGGGCACTCCGAGGATGCGGGGCTTCCCTCCTAAAGGGGGCTCCGAGCGTCCTGTTTGGGCGTCTGAACCGCCGCGGGCTCTGCTGGCGGGGCGTTGGCCAGGGCCCAGAGGTGGCGCTGGCGCCGCTGCTCTTGTCGCTGTGCTAGCTGACGCAGCTGCTTCCGGATGGCCCAGAGCACCAGGTACACTTCCCGCAGCATCTCCGCCTCCTTCGACCCCAAGGGGGACGAGGGCTGCAACTGGGAGGAAACGGAGCTAGAACTCACCTGTGACTAGGAGAGAGAGAGAGAGGACAGATATGTTGCAAATGGCCTGGTGTAGAGAGGCCAGTGAAACCACAGACATCAGATGCTACATTCATCAACCTCCCTCTCTGTCTCTGTTCAGGTGCCGCCTCACCCAAGAAGCCGCCTCAGACTGCCTGTCCTTTTGTTTGCCCCTTCAGACACTTTTCACACACTATGTGTTCTGGGGGCCACTCCTCCCAGTTCAGTGTTTGGGCTGGGCAATGTGATGTAGCTTGGGCCTAGTGGGGAACACTAGGGCCACACTAACTGGTGCTGTAGATTGGGGTTGGGGTATGAGGTGCTATGAATGGAATTCTAAACCTTGCATACACATGGCCTGAGCCTTGCGCTTTGAGCTGGGCTCGTCTCTAGTCTCCACTGGTGTCTTAGCTGGCAGGATGATTTGTTTGCCCAGCAAATTCCACTGCCCTGGGCATCTCTACTTTTCAGCTGTCTCGTTCCGATGCCCTGGGCTGGCTATCTTCTCCCACAGCCTGCACCTTCCCTTCCTTCCCCTCCTAGCCACGCTGTTCTGGCTTCCCTCACCCTGTGGTCCTCAGCGTTAGCAGATGTTGTATGTGCGAGGGATCAAACCTGGGTCAGCTCTGTGCAAGGCAAGCGCCCTATCGGATGCTATATTGTCTCTGCAGCCTATTGGAGGCACAATTCTATATTAATTATTTGTTTGGGGAGGGCCACACTCAGCAGTGGTCAGGGTAAACTCCTGGCTCTGTGCTCAGGGATCACTCCTGGTGGGCTCAGGGACCATATGCTATGTCGGTGGTTGAACTAGGGTTGTCCACACGCCAGGCAAGCGCCCTGCCCATTGTACTATTGCTCTGGCCCCTGCTTTGCCATTTTAGCCCCAGTCCCAGACCCTTCATTCGATCTGCAGCTTCAAGATAATTGTAGGTTACAAAATGCAGTTGTAAGAAATAATAGTTTGGTTTTTCTTTAACTGGGCCTGTGGGCAGGCTTTGCACGAGGGCTCATGTTTGATGTCCAGCAACTGGGCTAAGGATAAGGCTCATCAGCTTGCCCTGCGTATGTGTTTCGTCCCTGGCACCACCAAAACCGAACCACAAGCCAATAGCAAGTGAGATTTCCAGCACCCTGTGGTCCCCAAGGTACTTCTGGGAGCGACTCCTGAGCACCAAGCTAGGAATATTCCATAAACACTGCTGGGCATAAAACCACACACACACACACACACACACCCCACATACCCCATCACTGCTGGGCGTAAACACATACACATACACAAACACACACACACACACACACACCATCACTGTTGGGCGTAAAACCACACACACACCACAAACCCCATCACTGCTGGGCATAAAACCACACACACACATACACCATCACTGCTGGGTGTAAAATCACACACACACACACACACACACACACACACACACACACACCATCACAGACTTCCTATTTGATCTTTGCCAGTTTCCCCAAATAGTGGAATCTTGTGAAACTATAGTACAATTTCCCAGTCAGGACACTGACAGTAGCAGTTCATGGGTGGTGATTACACTTGTCCAGTTTTACTGGAAGCTGAGCGTGTGTTCCTGTGTGTGTGTGTGCGCGCGCGCGCGTGCGTGTGCGTTTGTATGCATTTATATTTGACCCAATTTTACATCACACGTACAAGTTCACAGGTTCACATTGAGGACAGTTGAGGCACTTCCTTCCTCCCAAGGGTCCCTAACATAGCTCTGTGGAGCCCACCTCACCTCCAAATCCTGCAGCCCCAGCAGTAACTGAGCACTAAGTACTGGGCTGCTGATTCAGTGGTAAAGGACGACCCTTGCAGCCACAAGACTGGGGTTCAATCCCTGGCTCTGCCCTGCAACCTCTGCTTAAAAAAAAAAAAGGAAAAGAGGGACCTGGGGAGGTGTATGATAGAGAAGGCACCTGGCACGTGGCCAACCCAGGTCTGATCTGACACCACTGTGGCCTCCCAATCCCTCCAGAAACACAGACCAAAAGTGACCACGGGCACCACCAGTGTGCCCCCCCCCCCCACCTCCCGCCCCACCAAACAAAAACAAAACAGACAAAAAAGTATGCTGGGGAAAAAAAGGAAAAAGGCTAGGATGTGGTTCCGGGCGAGCACTGAGTTTGATTCCTGGACTGCCAGAATAAATCAATCAAATGGCTCCCTCTCTGGCCGAGAAGTGAGCGGATGTGGTCACCTCACTCTGAACCGTCACCATGAAGAAAACTGCACAAACGTTCACACGCCGGTTTCTGCGCCACCGTGTGGGTCTGACACGAGCCACAAGAGACAGGACGCCTCGAGCTGCCGAGAAACCGTTTCCCAGAACGGCCACAACCACCTCCGGGCCCGCCAGCACAGTGTCACTGCTGGGGAACATTCTGGATCCAAACCCGGTCATGGCCCTCCTCTGCTCAGGGGCTTCCGTTGCTCTGAGGGCCAACGAGGCCAACTCCATGGTGGGAGTCAGGCCCCTCAAGCCCTCCACTCCCTACTCCACCCCTATGGGGGCTCAGCTTCGTGGGACTTGGGGTCTCCACTGTTCCGTGCTCCATGCCTGCTACATTCCGGACCCACAAAGCCTGTCTGATGGGGGGCTGCAGATGTGGGTGGGTCAGCTCCGTGCCCCACTGAGTGCCTTATGCGCGGTTTCTACATGCAAGCGAAAGGAGTGCTGGACCCTAGGGAGCTGGCACTCACCTTCCAGATGCATTTCTGCAGGGTGGAGACCATGAAGGTGGAGACAGACTGCATGGCTGTGCGGGGCAGCTGCAGTAACGAGCGGCGGGGGCGGCCTCCCATGCTCCCTTCCACCCTGTCCGAGGGGGCTTTGGGGGGCTCATTCTCCTTGGGGACCAGGGCCTCCGTGGGCGGCTCCGCCCGCGTCAATGTCTCGACCACCTTGCACTTCTCTACTTCCGGCACTGTGAGCTTGCCGGGGTCAAGGGGCTTCGGCTGGGGCGGCTTCGCTCGGCGTTTCCAGAAAAAGACCTGTGGCAGACGGGGCCGGTGAGGGGATGGCAGGGCAGGGTAGGGCAGAGAGACGAGGGCCCGGGGGGTGGGGGTACACCGGGATGGGTGTCTCACTCCCCATCCCGCCTCTTCCCACCTGGCTGAAGGCCAGTGTTGGGGGGCTGCGGTGGGACCCCTTTTCCGCCCCAGGAGGGAGCATCCCTGAACTCACCCAGCCAGTGATTTTCTTCCAAACCCAGTGGAAGATCCTCATGAAGAACGCCATCCCTGCCACGGTACCTGCTGCACCACACCAGGGCCGCGTGTGCAGGACAGAAGCAGCATTTGGGAAGGGGGCGAGGAAGGGGGATCAGAGACCAGTGAGCCCAGCACCACGGGAGACGCAGGGCGGTTGGGGGCGGAGGGGTCACGACGCCCCCCCAATACACGTCCTGGGCTTTCCTCCCCTCCCTGAGCAGGGAGAGGAGTTGAAACAGAAAAGAATCTGAGGGAGGGAAGGTTCTAGCCCATTGTGAGCCTGACCTGGCCCTCACCCCGCCCCACCCCACCCCCCAAGGCTCTCGGGACCCCCAGAACCAAGCTCTGTGGAGGCGGGAGGTTGCCGGCCAGTGGGATTTTTGTGGGGTGTCCTCTGCCCCCCTCACCTCACAGCGGTGCCCCGCAGGCGAGGTCAACTCCTGGTACTGCCGGTACCACCTCTCGGGAGGGGGGGGCGGTGGGAGGGGGATGCACAGGTCCAGAAGGGCCACCGAACCAGACCAGGCCTGCATCTCAGGTCTGTAAGGTGGGGGAGCCTGCCCCGTCTTTCTCTGCTTCCCCCCTTCCCCACTAGATGGGGTGCTTCTCCCTACCTGCCTCCAGGCCTGGCCGGAACCCAGGCTGGCGGGGAGGGGTGGAGGCCGCGGAGGAGCCAGGCCAGGCTGGCAAGGGCGCCGTGTGCCCGGGAACCTGGCCCACACCCAGTGCAGAGACAAGAGGACCATTCAGGGCCCCCCGCCCTGCCCCCACGCAGCCACCCGGATCCAGCCCACAGAGGGGACACGCTGGGAAGCGGGAGGTGGGTCCGGCACAATCTCCAAAGGCCTCATTGTTCCCCTGGTGCCCCCAGCACGTGGGCACACGCCCCTCTCCCTCCCGCAGCCTGGCCCGGCCTGGCCCTTCCCAGGACCCAGGCCGCCAGCCTCCCACCCTGGGCAACCCTGCCCCCCACCCCCACCTCCTGGGACTGCTCTCAGCCTCCGGGACCTTCCCCATTTGAGAGGCGGCCTTGAGGGGCACAGCCAGCCTTGGGGGATGGGGGGGTGCTCCCCTGGAACAAGCAGCGAGATTCCAAGCTTCACATTCAAGTTTCTTCAGAAGTTTTAATTATAATTATTATTTTCATAACAACCTGAATCCCAGAACTTCCAGATACTGTCCATTCTCCCTCCCCTGGGCAGAGGAGGGGTGCAGCAAGGGAAAGAGGGGAGGGGGGAGGGGGGGATCTCCTGGGGGCCCGCGACTCCCCCCAGTATCTTCCGCTGGGCTTCCGGAGCACCTCAGGATGGGGCAGGGGGGGATGCGCTCTTTGACACCCCAGTCCTTAAGTCCTCCCCTTCCATGCGGATGCCAGGGGACAGCCCAGCCCAGCTCCTGGGGACTCTGGGGACATGTAGGGGGGGGCGGGGGACAATAACGAAGGGGACCAGGCCAAGTCTGTGCCTTCAACCCCCAACCCTGGGGGTCCAGGAGGCATTAAAGCTGCATAGGGTGGGGGTGGCAGCGGGGGCACCCCCAAAGGCACATTGTGAGGGTAGGGGGGCTCAGACCGAGGGCCCGTTGGGCGCGGGGGGTCCCAGGCGGGGCAGAGTCCCGGAGGGCAGCTGGGCCAGCTGCTCGGGGCTGGCCAGGGCACGCAGCAGCCCGTTCTCCTGCTCCAGCGCCGCGTTCCGCTCCGCCAGCTCCCGGATCTGCTCTTTCAGCACCTCCACCTCCTCCCGCACCGCGAACATGAGGTGCGACTTCACCAAGTCCTGCAGAGCGGCGGGCGACCCACGTCACATGCCGCCACTGCCCCTTCCCCAAGCCCGAGGGGCAGCCCAAGGGCTGGGGGACGCGGGGCAAGGCAGGAGTGAGGGCCGGGGACCCCGGGGCAGCCAAGCGGGGCATCCTGACCCTGGACTCTCCAGGGGAGGGGGACCCCCCCACCCCCGCTATGCTGCTCTTACCATAGCCTGCTCGATCTTGTTGTCGATGCCCACCAGGTTTCCAGAGCTGCTGGAGAGAGGGGGGAGATGGGGTGAGGGGCAGTCAGTGGGGGGCAGCCTCTGAGCCCAGTAGCCACGGGCTCCCCAACCCCGTCCGCACCTGGGGCAGCAGAGGATCAGGGACAGGAGGGTCTTGTCCATGCCCCGGCGCGAGGAGGGCCACTGCCCGGGCACCCCCAGGCCCCGGGCGGGTGGGGGTGCAGAGGCCCCTCGGATAGGGGAGGGCCCCCGCGGGGAGCAAGGAGAGGAGACGCAGCCTCTTTTCCGGGGAGGCCCTGGGGCTGTGGCCCCCGTGCGCGTCTCGTAGGAGGACACCAGGGACCTGACAGAGACTGCGGGTTGGGCCATCCCCGAGGGCAGACGCTGTCTCCCAAGGGCTGCCTGGGGGGCTCAGAGCCCCCCGGGGCAGAGCGGGGTCCTGTCGGTGCCAGGCGGGCAGAGGAGACAGCGCCTGTGGGGGGGACTGCCCTGAAGATATACACAGCCGCCCCCCCAGGCAAAGCCTGGCCGTGATTGGCTCCTCGGGGACACGGGGACCCCCTCCCACCAGCGTCAGGGTGGGCGGGAGTTGCCAGCCGCGGGCAGTGCCAGTGTCCCCATTCGCCCTGGCACCCGGCCCAGACACAGGGGAGGGGGCCGGGAGGGGGGAGTCGGGTGGGTGGCAGGAGGGGCCATGGGTGGGGGAGCCCTGGCCGCCCCTGACTTCTGACCCCACCATCATCCCCTCCCCCAGATGCAGGAATGCAAAAGCACAAACTGCTGGCCTTTCAAGGGGCCAGGAAAACCCATGTACAAAACCCCACACTCGGGGTTCCCCCAGGGGATGGGAACCATGGCAACAGACACCCTGCTGCCTCTCAGGTCTTGGGTTTGGGGTCCGGGTATGGGTCGGAGGAGAGAGGAAGGGGGCCTAGGAGGTACCCGCGCCCTGCAGGAGGCCTGGAGCAGGCCTGGTGGTAGTTTGCCAAGTGGCCACCAGAGGGCGACTCCAGCCTGGCTCAGTGGTCCCCAGGGCCAGCCCGTGGGTCCCAGCACCTGGCTCTCCCTTCAGTGGGCTCCTGCGGCAGGCCTGCACAGGCCTTCGCACCCTGCCCTGGCCGCCCAGGCGCTCATTCCTAATCACTCAGGCCCCCGCTGGGGGGCGGGGTCGCACCCAGGCTCCGACCCACCCCTGACCTGCCTCCAGGTGCCCTCGGTCCTCAGCTCGCTCTGCGTAGGCGCCCCGCAAGCTACATCCTGCACCCAGCCCTTCTTCTGCCTGTCGGCTCCAAGCTGCTTCCCTGGGGGGGGGGGGGGGGACCAGCGCTCACTCAAGGTGACACTGGGTGAGGCCATGCAGCCAGGCAGGGGGCAGGAGGCTGCTGGGAATTTTCCATTTCTCATCCCGGCTCAGATGCAGCAGGTGTGGACAGGTGGAGAACAGAGGGGATGACCAGGCCCCCAAGAAGGCCCAGGATGGGGTGGGGTGCAGCTCCGAAGGGCACTGGAGATTCTCCCCGGTGCTGGGGGTTGAGGGGAGCCGCCCAGACAGCTGGCTAGGCGAGGGCCGTTAGCAGCTATTTCCAGCCAAGACAGACTGGGGGCCCCGGCACCCCAAGGACAGAGAGGTAGAGGGGCAGATCCACAGGAAGGAGAATACTGGCTCTGCCCAGCGGGCATGGGGGCAAGGATGCCAAGAAGGAGGCTCGCTGCACACTCTAGGGGTAAAGGCAGCTCAGATAGAGAAGGGAGCACCAAATAAAGGGTGTTGGGAAGATCCGCCCAGGATGGGAGATGCATGTTGAAAGTAGACTATAGACCGAAAACGACTGTCAGACTGCCACTCGATGCCTCTTTTGCAAACCACGGCACCCAATAGGAGAGAGAGAACAGGGGGGAGTGCCCTGCCAGAGGCAGGATGGGATGGGGGGATGGGGGGGTGGGAGGGATACTGGGATCAGTGGTGGTGGAGAATGGGCACTGGTGGAGAGATGGGAACTCGATCGTTGTATAACTGAAACCCAAGCACGAAAATTTGTAAGTCTACAACTGTACCTCACGGTGTTTCACTAAATTAAAAAAAAAAAAAGAGAGAGAAGGAGCCTTGCTCTTGCCAGAAATAAAGGAATAGTACAACAATAAACATTTGTTGGCTGTGAGATGACTATCTCCTGTTTGCCTGACGCTTCAGATGGGGACTTTTTCCACGCTCACACTGAGACGTGATGGGGTCCCGGCCCCCAGGCCCTTCCTGGGCACTGCGCTGGAATTCCCGGGCAGGAAGTTTGGGGATGGCTGGCAAGGGGCAACCCTCATCACAAGCCTAAGAGGAGCCGGTGGGGAGCAGAACACGCCCTTTCTTCGCGCCATTCCCTGCCGTCATCTGCAGGAACCTCCCTGAGCTCCAGACTCTGCCGGTGTGTGGCGCCCACTGGAGTTGTTTGGGGCTCAGGACACACCTGGGGGGACACAGGGTCCACCTCATTCCCTAAGGCTGGTCAAGTGAACCCAGCTCGCAATCCAGTGGATGATACAAAGGGCGGGGGGGGGGGGGGGGGGGCGGAGACTGCAGGCCAAGGGCCATCCTACAGCCACATGTGCCTA